TTAACCAATTTAATACATTTTCCTATGCATTACCTAATGTTAACAAATTCAACCGTTTTGTAAAGTGTTACTGATTACTTTATATAAACAATGTTTTTTTTTATTGACTGTAATTTAAAAATGGTGATTTTTCATGCGAATATGGCTATTTAAGATTTATCAGAACACAGTGAAAATGTATTGATTCAATGGTTGTGATGGGTCAGTAGCTGCTTTTGAGTCCCAGTTTGCCCTTCAGACACTTGGCAAAGCCAGTCGAATGACTATAGGGTATACATGACCTTGGACAGTAAGCACAACACAATGTCTATAAGATAATATCTCTGGCAGCTATGGAGTATTAAAAATACCTTCCAGTGGCTTATATAATCTTCAAACGACCAACACAACCTTCAAATGACCTGTGCAACTATACAACCTTTAAATGAATGAATTATGCAATCTTCCTAAAGTCTAAAAATGAAATTGAATTCTTTCAGTTGGATGTGGTTTGACTATAAATTGAATCCATAACTCTAATGAGCAAAGCATCTGTGACTGAACAAGTGACAGACTGTGTGCAGGCCAATGGTTTTATCTAAATTATAGTTTGATTCACGTCACTCATTCTCATTTCAGATGACGGCCCACGATGATAGAGGATCTGCAATTCCTTGAATCACTGTCGCCTCAGTGCTCATATTGCTGGCCCCCATCCAGGCTCATGATAGAAGCTGATAGTGGAGAGGAGGGGCATAACGACGGAACACTGCTGCCAGTGCATGATGAGATGTGCTGATGTTAATTGTGTCCTGTCACTGCTGCTATAAATCCTGCATCATATCTTTCCTTTGTGGAGACTTGCATGCACCAGGTGTCCTTGAGGTCCAGATTTGGCACGACTCAAGATAATGACTTAAAGTAAAGCTTGCCTTTTGAAAAAGTACTTAGCTAAACTATAGGCTACTAAAGAGGCTATGATGGGGAACCATATTTTTATATACACTATCATTCACTAAAGTTTGGGGTCGAAGATTTTTTGGTTTTTGAAAGAAGTCTCCTATAAGGCTGCATTTATTTGATCAAAAATACAGTAAAATGGTACAGTAATATTGTAAAATATCATTCCAATTTAAAATAACTGTTTTATATTTTAATTTATAGTAGTCACTCTACAATGTGATTTACTGTATCTCTGTGATGGCAAAGCTGAATTACTACAGTCTTCAGTGCCACTCGATCCTTCAAAAATCATTCTAATATGCTGCATTGGTGCTCCTGAAACATTTCTTCTTATTATCAATGTTGAAAACAGTTGTGCTGCTTAATATTTCTGTGGAAACCCTGATGCTTTTTTAAAGAATTTTTGAATGAATAGAGAATTTAAAAGAACAGCATTCATTTGAAATGTCTGTACTGTGAATTTAATGCAGCCTTGCCATATGAAAGTATTTATTTATTTTAAATACATCTTACTGACCCCCCAAACGTTTGAACAACAGTGATCTCAATATGGGTGACAGCATTAAACCAAAATTAAAAGATAATTTTGTATTAAATACAACCATTAAAACTAGAAAACACACCAAATTCTATACCAGTTAAACAGTGATGAAGAACATGGTTTACCTAAATATTGTTTAAAAAATAAATCTCATAAGAACTTCAATACAGAGCCTCAAATAAATCAGTGATTTATTTTAGTGATACTGTTTGTTAACATAAAATGTACCATAAAAAGATAACCACCCAATTTATACAAACTGGTTCACAAAAAGTGAACCACTTGTTTCAAATGAACCCAATTAATCAGTTTGCTAAACTTAAATGTGCAGTTCAAATTGTATGAGAGAAAGAACCATTTAAGAGAGCACATAAAAAAGATTCATGTGCAAACAATGTGATGATAAAAAAAATGTATGTAGATATGCAATGTAGCAATGTCACAAATAGCTTTAAAGAGGTCATGAACTGTTTTTATTTTGTACTGTTCTCTATGGTCCACTTATAATGTTATCAAGATTTTTACATTTAAAACATAATTTAGAAGTAACAGGCTATTTTCTGTTCTGTTTTGACCCCCCTCATGGGAACGCTCTGTTTAAATAGGTGTGGCGGATTGTAGACTCGGAAGTAAACGTCCACTGCTATGATTGGCTAACAGTTGTGTATGTTTGACAGCCTACTTCCTTCATAGATGGACGCTGCTTTGATTTAGGTTAAAAACGCATAAATACTGAATGCATATCAAACGATCTGTAATAACAGACAATAACAGTTGTGTGGTGCGACATTACTGTCGGATCCAATTGTGCCTTGTTTGTAAAAAGTGAAAAAGTGAAAGTGACGTGACATGTGGCCAAGTATGGTGACCCATACTCAGAATTAGTGCTCTGCATTTATCCCATCCAAAGTGCACACACACAGCAGTGAACACACACACACACCCGGAGCAGTGGGCAGCCATTTTTTGCTGCGGCGCCAGGGGAGCAGTTGGGGGTTTGGTGCCTTGCTCAAGGGCACCTCAGTCGTGGTATTGAAGGTGGGAGAGAGCGCTGTACATTCACTCTCCCCACCTACAATCCCTGCCGGTACGAGACTCGAACCCGTAACCTTTGGGTTACGAATCCAACTCTCTAACCATTAGGCCACGACTTCCCCATTTTAATTTTGTGTGTGTGTGCGTGCGTGCGTGCGTGCGTGTGTGTGTGTATGAAATATTGATGAAATCAACGAATGTAAACGAATAAGCGGAAAAAATGAAGTGAACAAAGGCGGGGTTTAGCTACATTCTTACGTCATAAAGTGGCACATTCCACAACCTGTCATATTGGCAGATTGGCTTCAATATAAGCTGTTTTTAGACTAACTAGAAAGTTTTGAGTTCTGAAACGTACAGGACATTTTTATAGTTCAATGACCTCTTATATGTCAAAATATAACTGATTTCTCAGTTCATGACCCCGTTAATGAAAAAGCTACACTGGTCAATAGCGTCTCTACTTTTAGTTAGTTACTCTGCAACACAGCTCCATGAACAAGCAAATTTATATTTTTATTTAAATAAACAGGTCACTACTAATCCCAATGCGGCTTCACTGCTCGTTGCACCAGACAGACATTTTTCATCAATATTTCAGACACAAACACACACACACACACACACACACACACTCTCTTTCTCTCTCTCTCTCTCTGCATCAATTTAAATTACTTGTGCTTTGCATTATATCTAGAGGGGAAAGTCTTGAGTCTATGAGAAGACAAACAGGTAGTGAGAGACAGGCATTCACAAACAAACATAAGCACTCTCTTTTGCATGGCAGGAAGAACTGAGCTGAGAGGCTGACATTTCTAAGCTTCACTATCTGCAATAAGCTCCAGAGCCAAGTACATAACGCGCTAATATGCCAGAGAAAGTCAAAATGCTAAAGCACCACACCCAGGGCCTTAGAACCATCTGACTCAGCCTCAGCCCTTCAGCTGTATTTGTGTGTATGTTATATATTACAAGTATTACGAATTCAAACTGGCACCAGCTATTCTGCAGTTTAGCAGTAAAGCTTTGAACATCTCAAGCGCCTTTCTTTTTTATTTCCTTGTCTTTTTTTTTTTTTTATTAAGTGCAAATCTAAAGGCCGCCTTATCCTCGCTCTGGGCAGTGCCGCAGTTAAAGTAAGAAATGGAAAAATATATTTCTAACTGCTGTGGCCCAATAAACCTGTCAGAGCCAAAGCTAATCTGCATGAATATATCACTCTTCAATATTTCAGACTTGTAAAATTGAAATTTTATTGGCGGTTGACAAACAACAAAATGGTGTATTTCCGCCACCAACTGGAATGGAGTGTGGATCAAAAATTGACTTCCTTCCCAATTTTTTTACCGCCTTTCTTTTTTTTTTCCTTTTTTTTTTTTTTTTTTTATTAAGTGCAAATCTAAAGGCCGCCTTATCCCCGCTCTGGGCAGTGCCGCAGTTAAAGTAAGAAATGGAAAAATATATTTCTAACTGCTGTGGCCCAATAAACCTGTCAGAGCCAAAGCTAATCTGCATGAATATATCACTCTTCAATATTTCAGACTTGTAAAATAATAAAAGAGAGAAAGAGAGAGGAAATGAGAAAGGATTTAGCACTTTAATTCAAAAACGCTTTCATAAGACCTCATATTACCCCTAAGAAACTTGCACACTTCTGAACTACGCATATTCAGCTTTGCGGTCAAAACTAATGAAGAAACTCAGTCTAATGACAATAGCAGGTAGCTTCCCTGGGGAGTTATTCTGATCCAGGATTCACTTTCATATAAGCGACTTTTATATAATAAGAACAATTAAGCAGAAATTGACCTATAGCCTGTAATTGGAGCACTGTGGGATCTGCTGGTGCTCTTTTCTGTAGAAAATCAATGGCTCAATTCAGCCAGATTTAACCATTAACTAAAAGTTAACTTTTTGACCAGACCTGCTAAAAGTGACCCCACATTAGAGTTGTGTAGTCGGAATGTTGCCTGGCAGTTAATGCACATGCTCTTAATACTGAGTTTAAATCAGTATTCCCTCATCTCATTCCTTCTTTTCCTTATAAATTCTAGTCATTGACATAATGTTCACATAAACAAAGCAGTAAAACTTCCTCAAATGAATCAGTAAATTGGTTCGTTCAGACAAAAACCTTTGCTTGATGTACATTAACTACATGAACAAAACGTGAAGCACTTGATTTACATGAACAGTCCAAATGTCCAAATGAACAGTTCAAATGAACTGACTCACTAAAAAAAATTTAAATAAATAAATAAATAAAATAAATGAATCCCAAAGCTGTGTGCATAAACATGATATTAAAAAGTAGCATAAAGGCCTAAAAAAAAAAAATAAAAAAAATAACCTGATGAGTCAGAACAGCCTTCAGATTGTAGATCACTGCTAACTGATCTGCCATATGGAGCAGCTTCTGTGCCTCCTGCGATTTCAGACCTGCATGAAGAGTTAATGGGGAAAATAAATGAAGTATACTTACCCAGAACTCCCAGCCTATAGTTCATGGTGACTACAATGACGTTCCCATATGCCGCAAGAACACTGGCGTCAAACATGTTTCCGGTTCCTTCCATATAAGAGCCGCCGTGAATGAACAGCATGACTGGTTTCTTCCTGCGGTCACGGATGTCTAATAAAAGTCAAAATGAGGGGAAAGAGAGTGTTGTGTAAGTGAGAGCTACAGAAAGAATAAATGATATGTCACTTTGTGAAACTACACATTTTATTTTATTTTTTTTATCTGAGGGTGATGGTTGGATCCTTTGTTTGTGAGTAAATAGCTAGACGTTAGGTCACTTTAGACACCAATAAGCTATTACTCTTCAAGATATAACAACACATACACACACTCACACACCGAAACATATGCAGAGGCAGCTGCAATGAAACGTCGCTATAGTAACTGCCTCAATTTGATTTCCCCATCTACCCAGCAGAGGCCATTCCATCAATGTGACTCGCTCCCATTGACTGTTGTCATGGAGATCTATTATACAGACACACATACTTTCGCTTTTCTAACCCCTTGACACCTTCAATCACCATCTGAATCTCAGTCGATTTCATTAAAGCAGATAACTGATAAAGTCAGGTGCTCCAAGATGCAGGAGCCAACACACACAAAAACAAATGTATCCAAAGCATTACTAGATTAGAGCATCAAACAGACGGTCAGTCAAGAAGGATTACTAACTTATTCATCCATAAAACACATACAGACAAATACTGTCATACATGACTAGACAGACACACAGATGCTGTGACATGAACACACATTTTCGAAATGTGCGATTCCAAGTGTCACGTGATCCACAATTTTGTTTCAATCATGGTCAAACCAGAACACTTTTCCAAAATGCACACAGGCTCCAAAATGAACTCTGGCATCAAACCTGCCAATGGAAAATACTTCCTGAAACTGTATTGTCATTAAAGTGATAGTTCACACAAAAATTAAAATGACAGAACTACAGAATTTACTCCATAGTGGAAAAAAAAAATACTATGGAAGTTAATGGCTACCGTCAAATATTTGGTTACTAATGATGACAGAATATTTTTGGGTGAATATTTCTGGGTGAACTATCCCTTTAAGACCAAGGAATAATACAATTAAATTACATTTTAAATTCAATTAATTGAAGACATTTTGATTTTGTTGCTCATATTATTTTGGTGGTTGGAAAAAAGTTAAGCAGACTGATAAATAGAGTAATAGAAAAAACGAGAGATAGAACTAAAGACAGAACGGCAGAATGATAGAACAAACAATAGAACAAATGAACGATCGTTAGATACAATGAATGATAGATAGAACATAGACAGACCAAACGATAGATAGAACAAACAACAGGTCGAACAATAGATAAAACGAATGATAGATATGATGGATAGAATGACAAAACAACAGAGAGATAGACAGATAGATCAGTTAAATTATCTATCTATCTATCTATCTATCTATCTATCTATAGTTCTATCTATCGGTCCATCTATCATTCTGCTCTGTCCATGAGGTCTATAAAAAACTTTGTCAAGCCAACATAATACATACTAATGGAGTCTTTTGTACTGTCAGTCATGGTCTGTCAATCAAATTTGTATACAAAACCAAATTAACTCACAAAAAAGGATACATTTCACATTTATATGTTCAAAATCACAAGTTTTTGGAATTTGCTCTAGTGAACACAAAATTGACAAGCGCTAGCTATGATGGCATTTGGTAGCCAGCCTATCGGGCCGAGTTGTCTCAAGTGAGAAATATGCCATTGTGTTTTAGCACCAGTTTAATTGGATGCGGGTGACAGGAGAATAGAGGAAGGAATTGTCTATGTGGCTGTGTCTAATGGATTCAGAGCTAATTAAGTTCACACAAGAGATAGAGGCTCGCCACCATCAGAGGGACATAATGGCAGAATGTGTGCGTGTTTGTGGGTTCATCCACACACATGCGAACGCACTGAGCAGTAAACAAGTTTGTTTCTAATCACACCATTGTCTCCGTTCTGCATGAGAGGATCAGAGGTGAGCAGCAAGCTCGTGTGGGCCTCTCTATCTGAGTATGCATGTTCCTTTGTTTTTTTTGTTTTTTTAGATCGTTCCCTTTCATGCCCTCTCCTACTTTTCCTCAATATCGGCCCCTGTTTCCTCCCTTCTAATCTCCATGTGCTTCTTTCTCTCCCTCCATCTCACAGTGTGCTTGCAGACCTACTCATCCTCCCTTTGTACACCCATTTTACGGTATGTTTGCAGTGTTTGAATGTGAGGACGCGAGGACACCAGGGGGCAAAATAAAAGAACAGGATGTTTTGGTGGTTATAAGACAGAACACATTGAGACTTGAAATGAATCTATTAAAAGGGTTAGAGAGAGGCAGTAAGGAAAAAACTGGTTGGAAATGAATCACGATGAACACAGATCTACGGTACTGATTGAGTGTTTGAATGCCGCCTCTGGGTACATGTGCATGCGCAGGGTCCAAAATTAACAGCCATCAAACAATAAATGCAGGTAAAAATGGCTTTGGAGAGTAAATAATATATATATAAAAAAGTTACTTCTGAGGGTATTAGGTATAGGAACTGCAATACAATACATGTTTTCAAACATCAGAAGTTTATGATGGATAGATAACTTTTTCCTCCAACCACCAAAACATAGATAGATAGATAGATAGATAGATAGATAGATCATTTTTTTATAATATGATATTTATAATACGATATGGTACCATATATGGTCATACCTTTTTAGAGGACTACCTGAGGTTGCTGCTGTTTTTGCAGTAAAGCAAGAGTTACTTTTCCTTGTTATAAAAAGCGCAATGCTATTACACTATTACAGCTGTGGAAATTAACTCTGATTTTCTTCAGTCTCATCATTATACTGAATGAAAGATACAACACATGATTGAAAGAATGGAGAAGAGCACAAGAGGAGAGAGAGATTACAGGAGGGAGCTTTTGGTGGGGTGGAGGAGGTCTGAAGGAGCAGAAAACAGGGCATTTGAGAAACTGACGATCAACATTTAAACTACAGGCTGCAGTCAGACTGTCTCTCTTACACATGGAACAATATCGTAAAGAGCACTCAGTAGGATAAGACAGAGAAAAATATTGCTCTAATGTACATCGACTCTGCAGTAGGGGTTATGAATACTTCATGCTGTCTTTAAATGCACATATGCAGACAACACACATGCACCTTTTTATTTCACATGTGCAAAAGCCCAAAAGAAAATTCTAGCATAATTTCTTCACCCTTATGCCACTCAAGCTGTTCTTTTCTATACAACTAAACTAGACATTGACTAGTGAATGTCAATGGAAAATGATGGAATTTTCATTTTGGGGTGAACTATTCAGCTACGCTCATTTAAGCACAGCATGCACTGTTTGCATGTGATCTCAGTTTGTCTGAATTCAAGACAGAAGAATTCCCAATAACATTCTTGATACAGAAGAGAGAGGGAGGGGGTCAAATACAGTGAAGAAGAGAGAAGCGTTTTTCTCTGAAACAAAGACCTCCCTATCTTTTCATCCCCATGGCCTCCTCATACATCCACAGAAACAAGAGATCTATTCATCTTATTTATGATCTCCTACTATAGGACTTATGAACGCCATCACTTCTTTCTGTACACTTGTTTTCACTTTTGTTTTTCCCACATTTTCATTTTTCAGTATTCACCACATCCTCCCCTTTGTTCTCTCTATTTATAAACACACATCACCCCAATATTAAAATTCTGTCATAATTTATTCACTCATATGCTTTTATATTTTTCTGTGGAGCATACAAGGAGAATTTTCACACTTCTCTTTTCCCACACAGTTCTTTTGTCAAGCTTCATGTCTGTCAAGCTCCAAAAGGACAAAAAAATGCCCTATAAAATTAGTCTATATGACTTGTACACTATATAATAATTCTATACAAGTCATACAATAGCTTTGTGATAAATGGACCTGAAATGTAAGTTATTCACCGATAATCTTACCAACCACTGAGGTGTTCATTTGAGAATCTTTGAACTCTAGCAACAGTTACTGAGTTAAGTGCTCACTTAAAAGGCAGATTATTAATGAATAATGGCTTAAATTTCAATCTGTACCACACAAAAAGATACCATATGGCTTCAGAAGACTTGGAATATAGCACACAAATCATACTGACCACATTTATGTTACTTTTACTGTGTTTTTGGTCATTTTTGGAGCTTGGTTCATGTGGCTACTTTGAACTTACTATGAGCTGCATAATGATTCTTCATAAAATTTGTCATATAAAAAACAACAACTAGGGTACACTAAACCTTTTAAATCGTTCTCATGCTATTACTCGGTACTCGTCTCAGCACTTCTCTCTTTCTCTCCTTGACTTCTTAAAGGGCTTCCAAAATAGCATGCTTAAATTGAGCTGACTTGATTTGTTTTTATTTAAAGAGGATCAATTACTGAGATCTAGTCGCACAGGAGTTGTTCAACCGTGAATAACTACCATGCACTTTAACACACACCCGAACCAAACCACACAGGAACTATCACAAAAAGCACATATGAAGGCCTCATTTTTCAATTCCTTTCTTGCTTATTATTTTTCACCCTCATTCTTTTTCCCCCACTTTCTCTCTTCTCTTTCTCCCTTGCATGCTCACTCTTGTTTATTTCAGGATAATGGCGAGACCAACAATAATAGACTGGACTCTCCTGGCAGTCGTTGTGGGAATGTGTGAGTGCGTGGAGAGGGTGTCCTAATTTAACCTCGTTAAGTCCCTGTCTCCCCTTTCTCCATAAACTTCCCCTCATCCAGCAAGCCCCATTTAATTGGCAGTGAATTCTGAGGGAATCTGAATGGCGGGCCGCTTGACTGGACGAGCTTCATTAAACCTATCTCCATCCTCCTCTCATTTAGATTACAGAGAAGCGCTGTGAAGAGTACCGCTGTCTGGCCTGTTGACAAGAGAGAAGCATCACTGACTGGTGAACCAGAAAAAACACAGCATCCTGTTCAAGTCTGTGATTGGAACCCACATGAATTTACTTTTAGGATTCGCTAGTTCTATACTGAGAAATGAGAAAAAAGTTTTAGAGAAAACTTATCTGCATGTGCTGATGGGTGAATGAGCTT